ATCCATTCGTTTGAGTGGATCGCATCGTTGAGCCTGTTACCCGGTCGTGATCCGTCGGCGGCCGCGACTTGCTCTCTGAATCGTTCCTCCGCCCCAACCGCCGCGAATAGCATCATGCCGCCATACACGTCCGCGTACGACTGCGTCGTCCTCGGCTCAGGCGGTGAGCGAGGCTTCATAGCGGGGTCGCTCGTCGTTCTCGAGGAGGTCCTCCCGATGCCCCGTGTCCGCTGACGACCGCAGTGCTGGGACTGTCCATCGCCGACGAGTTGACCAACCGCGGTCTGCGCGTGGCCATCGTCGCGAGGGACCTGCCCGAGGATGTGCACTCGTCGGCCTTCGCGAGCCCATGGGCGGTAAGTGCGGCCTTGACTGCTGCACCGATTCCCAGCTGGACAGCGTGCAGATTCCAGATCTCGAATCTAGCCGCCCCGCCGTCGCGCGACGTTTGTGCTGACCCACTCCGCGCCGCAGGGCGCCAACTGGGCTTCCTTCGCTTCCAACCCCGCCGAGCGCCGGAGGGACATCACCACCTTCCGCCGACTCGGCTCGCTCGCTGCCGATCATCCGGACCTGGTGCGGCGCACGCCGTTCGTGTACGTCTGGAACGAGGGGGAGTACGACGGGCCGTGGTACAAGGACGTGGTGTATGATGTGAGCGCGACGTCGGGCCGACGCTCGCCTGATTTCATTTCCTGCTCCCTATCTCTCGCGTCATCGTGTGCTCCTCGCGCCTCTCCCGCTCCATCCAGAGCCTTCCCTACCTTCACTTTGATCATCCCACCTCGACTCCCTCCTCCATAGCTAAGCTTCCCACCGCGCCTCGCACTGAGCTTCGCACCGGGCCTCGCTGATCTTCGCAGTACCGCGTTCTCCCCCGCTCGTCCGTCCCACCCGGCTGGACCCACGCCGTGGGCTTCACCTCGTACACTCTCAACCCGCCTCGGTACCTCGCGCACCTCGCCTCATCTCTCCGATCCCGTGGCGTGCCCATACTCCGACACCGCGTGTCTTCGCTCGACGAGGCGTACTCCCTCCTCGGCCCCGTGTCGCTGGTGATCAACGCGACTGGTCTGGGCAGCCGGACTCTGCTCGGTGTGGAGGATGCGTCGGTCCACCCCATCCGGGGACAAACTGTCACTGTCCGAGCACCCTCCGTGGTCGGGTGCTTCGGGATCAAGGATCCTCAGCCCGGGGGACAGCAATGCTATGTCATCCCCCGCCCCGGACCGGAGGGGCACGTCACCCTCGGAGGGACCTTTCTGCCAAATAACTACTCGACGCTGCCCGATCCAGACACGGCGGAACGCATCGTCAAGGACGCATACAAGCTCTGTCCCCAGCTCGCCAGTGGCAGCGGCAGCGGCACGTCGAGGACGAACAGCTGGAGGGATATACAGATCGTATCGCACAACGTCGGCCTTCGACCGGCTCGGACCGGCGGCATGCGTCTCGAGCTGGAGAACAGGGTGCTGGGGCGTGTCAACATGGAGCAAAAGGATGAGCACGCGGGGTTGGTCCCCGCGAGAGGACAGGTGGGCAGGGGAAGGGAAGTGGGGTGCGTGCATGCGTACGGGATCGGGCCGGCGGGGTGAGTGCGGCGACTCAGCAGGGACAACGGTGATTTGGCGCCTGCGATCTTGAACAGCGACAGTGTGGACGCTGCGCTGTCTCCGGGAGCGACCTCGTCGAGCAACGTTGCCCTCGGGTTGCCTTGGCCCCCGCTGACACGTCCTCGTAGGTATCAAGCCTCCCTGGGCATCGCCGAAGAAGCAGCCGATCTCGCCGTGGGCTACCTCGCCAAGATCAAGAGCAAACTGTGACCTGCCGCCGTAATCTCGACCCGGATCCAGACGGTGACTACGTCCATGACTTGAGATGGTCGGAAATGAGGTGGACAGATATGAGACGACCGGAGATGAGATGGCCCCAGATGAGATGAAACATCCGTTGGAACCGTTGCATGCCATGTCCACAGGAAAGTGCGATTATCAAAGAGCGTGAGACTACGAATACAGCAGGAGGTGAAGTGACCTTGCAGCGGACGAGGTGGGTTGAGGGGTCGAGGCAGTGACGGGTACGACCGCGCGAGTCCCCACGGAGCCAGCGGGCAAGGTCCACGACACCAATAGAGAATGTGTGGGAGGCAAGGAGGGAGCCGATGAGCCACCCCTCGCGCCGGTGTTGGTCTGTTTCGATTCTTATGATCTGTCGGATCGGGCAGGCGCCCGTCGACCTTGAGTGTACCTTCGGAGACAAGTTGCAAGGAAATCTTATCCACAATGTCCTATGTCCATCCAAGACTAGTGTTTTGTAGGGTTGGCGACCTGAGACACATCAGCGTTGACTCGCGTCGCCCCAGTACCCATCGCATACGCGCTGACAACGTTGCACGCGCACGCCGAACGCCGCACTCACGTGCAGCGGGTTCTCCCTCTCTGGTGGCGTGTCGATGCTGCCCGTCCCCTCGTCCTGATAACCGGCGTACGGGTCTGGGTAGCTGTGCGGGTCGTCCGTGTATTGCGCCGCAGTATTCGGGTCAAAGTAGTACCCCTGCTGACCATGTTGCAGACTCTCGTAACCGGCTGCTCCGGCTGCCCCGGCTGCGCCTGCACCTGCTGCCGCGCCGTAGCCCTCGTACGGGTGTCCCGCCGCCGCCGACGCGTAAGGGTCGTAGCCCCCTCCATTCGAGTACGACGCGCCGTACTGGTTGTACTGCTGCATCGGCTGGTTGACGGTGGAAGGGTACGACTCGCTGGTCTGGTGCGTGCTCGACGGGACGTCGTTGTCCTCGTCCAGCGGTGTGCGCTGGTGCGCGGCCGACGCGGCGATCGCTGCGGCGGTGACTTCCCGATCGAGCCTCTGCCTCCTCCGTCGACGGAAGCACAACAGACCCAGCGCCATGATCATGCCCACGACAACGAGGCCGACGACGACAAACACCCCGGCGACGGCACCCTTGTTGTTGAAGAACGACGAGGTGGACCCGCCCGACGACCCGCCCGAATCCAGCGCGCCGGTCGGGTTGTGCACGATCTGGGTCACCGTGTAGACCACGCCGTTGGACGTGGTGACGACGTCAGAGGTGAAGCTGGCCGGAGCGGTCGTGACGGTCCTGCCCGAGGCGTCGGTCGTGGTGATGCTGATGGCCGAGGTGAGCGTGGTGTCGGTGGTGTGGGATGTAGCGGACGCGGCGTTGGAAGAGGGCGAGACGAGGACGGTGGATGTGCTGGGACGTCAGCGGCGGTTCGGATCTCGGCCTCGTACGTCCACCCGAGCGAAAGCGAGCAATGCTTCATTTGCCCAAAACAGTCACGGCGACCCGACCTCGGCCACTCACATCGTCCCTCCCTGGCTTGATTGCGCAGAGCTCGCAGCTGCGCTCGACGCGGCGGAACTCGCGCCAGTTGAGCTGGACGGCTGGACGGTAATCGTGGTCGTGCTCTGCTGCTGCGACGATTGCGCCGCCGACGAGCTCGCCGCGGCGCTACTGCTCGGAGGCGCGGCGGAGCTCGACTGCGCGGCAGAGCTCGACGGTCGTGCTGCGCTGGACGAGGGTGGGGCGGCGGATGACGAAGCTGCCGCCGAGGACGGGGGTGGTGCCGAGGATGAGGGAGGGGGTGCAGACGATGCGGCTGATGTGGGAGCGGCGGACGATGCGGCGGCAGAGGAGGCGGGTGACGAGGAGGCGGCGGAGGATGGAGCGGCGGAGCGTGCAGACGACGGAGAAGAAGCGGAGGAGGCACCTGAGTCAGATTAGCCGCACGAGAAAGCGCCGAGCACGGCGGGACGGGAACACTGAGGCGAGACGAAACGAGACGAGACGACACGAGACGCCCTCCGCCTGCGACCGACCCGACACCTTCGACGACGTTCCATCTCGCCGACCACGCCGTGACTCTCTCGCTCGACACTGCATTCACGGATAAGGAAGCAACTCGCTCACCTGCTGATGAGGGCGGGGCGGCGGAGGAAGACGCGGCGGGACGAGATGATGCGGCGGAGGAGGCGGCGGGGGAGGACGCTAAGTCAGATCAGCCGTACGAGCAAGGGCGGAGGCGCCGCTGCGGGTGGGCACGGCAGCGCCCCCTGGAGACATGGCGTCGGAGACGTCGTAGCGGGTGTGTTTGGTGTGGGCTCGAGTGAGCAGGACTCGGCAATGGGGATGGGGCAAATGGGGAGAGAAATGGGCGAAGATATGGGCAACCCGACGCCGGGTCGATGCGATCGACACCGTGGACGCACCTGCTGAGCTCTGCGCTGGGGCCGAGGATGCCGCCCCTGCCGAGGACCCGGCCGACGCCCCTGCCGATGAGGACATGGCGGTGGGTCAGTGAAGTGGATGGGGTGGGTAGAGGGCGGGTGGAGGAGGGGAGTGAGGAGGGGAGGGGAGTGATGTGAGCAGGTCCGGTGATGTGATAAGGGTACGAAGGGTTTTTTTGATGAAGAGGGCGGTGTCGGCGGTGCGGTGTCTGGTGCCGCCGTGGAGTCGAGGTGGTGGCGAGAGTGGTGGTGATGACGGGGAGGTTGTTGAGGATGTGGATAGAAAGGCGAGAAGATGACCAGAGCGGGGTGAGGATGTGAGAGTGAATGGAGGGCTGTGCTGAGAGTGAGCCTCGGGATGAGCGGGAGTGAGCCTGTGAACCAAAAGGAAAGTGTCACCCAACCCAGCCGAGCTAAATTGCACCGGAAACAGGAAATGGCAACGTGGCGGACATCGCCGAACCGAACAGCGACAGCGGCGTCGCACCGGTGACGTCGTGGCGGTGGCACCGGGAGCATGATCACCCTGGCACTGCGATTTAGGTCTAAGACTTCCGGGGGCCACCTCGCAATCATACGGGGGTCGGTCGAACCGCATCGAACGACGTGAACGGTGATGTCGACCTCTCCGGACACATGCATATGCATGCCCTGGTTGTGCGGCGTCGTGCCGACAAGGGGCGTTGCAAGGGCGAAAAAGAACCCGCTTGAACACCCCGTGTCCGCGCCAAAAAATCTGGAGATACCGCGAATCGAACGCGGGCCTACCCATGTGCACGTATCTGCGAACGGGCACGTCTAACCAACTAACATATATCCCCAGGTAACAAAACACGTGCGCGCATGCACCATATCGCGGTGTGGGCAGAGTAGCAGGAGTCTGTCATATGTCTGTCATATGCCGATGGCGAACCTGCAACGCCGCTCTAGTGTTGGCATGCATATACTGCCCAAAGCGTGGTCCCACCTCCAAGGATGCTGTACATACATCATTAATCATACAGTGCTGAGTGGGATCACGGTACACTTCACTCCGCGCCGACGGCCTCACGCCGCGGCCACCTTGTCGTACCACACCTCGGCCCTGACTTTCACATCCTCCCCCTCCCGCGCATGGAGTTTTGGTACGGCTTCCCCTGCGCCCCACCAGTTCCCAAACATGCCGATGCCGTCGTCTGTCACCACGGCGTCTCCCACCTTATCAATCGTCACGACATGTGCATCCGGGCCGCTCGGCGAGTCGTACACGCTCAGGCTCGTCCAATTGAACAGATTCCCATCGAAATGCGTGAAGACGAGGTGGGAGGTGAACACCTTGTTGATCCCGGCGACGTAGATGGGGCCGGTGACGTTGAGTGGGGTACCGGCGGCCTGGATGGTGGCGACGAACAAGTCGGTAGTGAGCCCGGCAACCGAGAGGGAGCTGTTCAGGTGGATCGGCACCAGAGTCATGTCGCCGTATCCCGCGTTGTGGTACGTCGCCGCGACGACATGCTCGGAAGGAGGGGGGCGGGGGTCGCTCGGTGCGTCCGGATATGTCGGCAGGTCGGTGAGCTCAAGTCCCATGATCCGGTCCTCCCAATCAATGCGCTCCAGACCCAGCATCTCGTCGAGAATCACGGACTGGAAAACTTTCGCGAGTTGCGACCCATACTCGTTATCGTTGGTAGCAATGAATATGCCCACGCCGTCGTCGGGAAGTCGAACCATCAGCGACTCCTGACCCGGCACGTCGCCGCCGTGACCTTCCGTCTTGCGCCCGCGGTAGGTGAACATCCACTGGCCGAGGCCGTAGCTCACCGCGGAGAGCTCGGGCAGGTGTCGCATGGTCTCCATCACCGTCCGGGGGAGGGTGATGCGGGACATGACCCCGCGAGGAAGGATCTGCGGGTCGAGCAGCTCGCGCAACCACCGGGTCTAAGCGGTGTCAGCGGCGCACTCGAACACACCCATGTGGCTTCAAGACCCGCTCGCTGTCGGGGTGAAGCACCAGGGACTCGGACTACGGAGTTCGCGTCACTCGCCATGTCGTTGCCACTCAATATCACCCCTCCCGGGCCCGCCTCGAAGATACCGTCGGTCGGGGTCCACCAGCCGAGACTCTTCACCTCGCCAATGCAGCTCTTGGGCACTGCCTTGGACTTGTGGGGACGGGTTTGCTCGTGCTGGTGCTGGTGCTGGGGCTCGTGTTCGTGCCTGTGCTCGCGCTCGTGACCGTGCTCGTGACCGTGCTTTCGCTTCTTCCCCTGCGCCTCCCACTCCTCCGCGCAGAGCGTCTTGTTCCTCCCCTGCCTTGAGAACCCCTCGGTCCGCCTCCCGCTCTCGTCCGCCTTGATCGAGTCGTACGTCGCGTTCATCCCCAGCGGGTCGAAGATGTGTTCCTGCACATACTCGATGTATGGGACTCCGGTCAGCGTGGGGATGATGTGCGAGAGAGCCGTGTAGTGGAGGTTGTTGTACTGGAACTCCTGTCGGATCTCGGTCGACGGACGGAGATGGCGCATGACTACGACGAGGGACGATGGGGAGGCGGGACTGAGGGTCGTCAGTGGGTTCGGATGGGGGGTACAAGAGGGTGGTGGTGCCTTCCGCCCTGGGAACGGTTCGAGTGGGTACAGTATAGATGCGCCGCGGCACCGTCCAGAACATGACATGGCAGGCGTGTTTGGGCCGGATGAAACACACCGTGCCTCGAGTCGCTCACCCTTTCGCGTTGTCGTGCCGGGGCATCCCCGATCGCATATCTCCGGATCAGCTCCGCCTCTACTCCCACTCACTGAGCAGATCCACCACGTCCACGTGGTCCGACGCGTACTCATCCATGAGCTGCCACTCCGGCAGCACGTCCTTCACCTTGGTGTCCCACGCGAGGAGCTCGCCGTTGGGCAGGCGGGTGTGGTTCTCGATCAGTAGACCCACCGAGAGCGCGGTGAAGAGCTTCGAGTTGGAGGCGATGGCGAAGAGGGACTGGAGGTCAGCGGGGGGCACCACCCTGGAGGAGCACAGCGAACGAGGCCAGGTGAGACCTCGAGTAGGGCCGAGTGAGGTCGGGTGAGACGCCAAGTGAGGTCGAAAAGGGTCTTGTCACCGTGGTTCGGTTAATGGCAGTACTGGGATCGGAGGGAAGACGAGTGGGTGGGGAGGGAAGGCAAGCGGGTAAAGAACAAATCAACTCTCTCGCCGCACGTACATCCTCCGTGACGGGGTTACCCCGATGATCCGCCTGTCCAAAAGGCAACACCTCGCTCGCCCACCCGTCGCCCGTATACTCCGGCGAGGCCACCACGGCGACTACAAACCCCTTCATCGCCCATCTCTCCCGCATTGACTCGAGCCGAACGCGGAGGTGGTGAGACACGAGCGGCCTGGCGCCGGCGTGGTGCGAGTGCGAGTGCAAGTGCGAGTGGGGGAGCAAACGGTGAGTCCCCGCGTCAATGTCGGCGAGGCCGGTGTGGAAGTAAGGCAGGTCGCCGAGGTAGGGTACCCCGGCGAGGAGCGATGCGAGCGTGGAGAGCAAGCGCATGGCGCGGAACGAGGTGTGGTTGACTCCTTCAAATCAACGAGATCTATCCTTGGTGGACATGAGCATCACAGTAAGCAAGATGGGGTTTCCAGAGAGAGTGGGATCGGTGCGGTTCGTCATGAGCAGAGCATGCGGACATGGCCGGTGATCTCACATGTTCATGTTCACGATGACTACCGGTTCGGTTCCTCGGTGCACCGAGATGCCGGACTGGGGACTGCCACACGGCCAAGTGCAGTGCCGTGACACGTGACCCATCTCCCCGTTGTTATCGGCTGTGGGCCATTATCCTATCTCCCCGGCCACCGTCGTCACCGGCCACAGCGGGCAGCACCTCTCCCATCCCGACAACGACGGCCATCTCTCTTTCCTTTCTTTTTCTTCTCCTCCACATGGGTATATAAACCACCAGCTCGTCCCGCGCATGCTCCCCCGCCCCCGACTCGCTCATATCCACAACCACCCACTCCTCGCTACCCGTTGTGTCTCGCCATCGCCCTCGCCCTCGCCACCTGCCCCACCGGCCTTATCTCCTACACCGCCGCAGCGGTACCATCACCCGCGCCCCAATCCGACCCCCGCTGATCCACGCCCGCACCATGGCCACCGCGTCTCACTCCCACTTCACGTACACGCCCATCCCGGCCCCCGCAACGGCGAGCCCAGAGCACTTCAAGGACTTTGGGCGACAGGTGGAAGGGTACGTCCCCAGCGAGGTGACCCCGGAGCAGACGCAGGAGATCATCGAGATGCTGTACAAGGTGGGTCTGGCGCGGTGCGCCGCGGTACGGCACGGACATAGTGCGGTGCATAACTGCGGTGCATGATTATTGCACGGGCGGAAGCCGTCATATGGGTGGGGTGCGTGCTGCGATCGGAGCTGGGAGCCGACCGACCTCGAGGCCGATATGGGTCCTCCCGGAAAGTCCTCCCTACTCCATCTTCGTCCTCCCCCGCCTCCCTGGCCGCCTCTATCCGATCCGACCCCACCTGACCGTTCTCCGTCTTCTCTCCCCCATCTCCACATCACACGCCTCCGCCCAACTTCCTCGTCGCCCCTGCCACCGCCCTTCGCCTAACTTCCTCCTTCCTCGCCTCACCCTCGTCTCTCGCCACGGCGCCGTATCAATCCCACAGCCCCTAACCTCTTAACTCCTAACTTCATAACTCCCCGGCCTAACCCCAACCTCACCCCGACCTAACTCCCGACCTAACGCGATCGCGGCGAGGCCTCTGAAGCGCATACTTGGATGAAGCGCACACGTGGATGAAGCGCACACTTGAAGCCCCGCTGACCCCCGTAGCACTCCATCCTCCTCTTCAAGAACCTCAAGCTGACGCCGAAGGAGCAGTACGAGCTGACCCATGTGAGTGGGCTGGTGTCCCAGCACGTCGGTATCCGATGGCCATGGCCGTTTTGCGAGCTGCACCGCACCCCACACCACTGCTGCATTCTCGATCCAGCTCGGCCACGGTGGTCGCCGTGCGCGTTCCCGGCGGGAAACTCGTGACGAGTGACCAGATACCTGCGCCATGGAATGTCCGCCGTGTGACGTGCGCCGTGGAACGTGCTCCGCGTGTCTCGCGCCGTGCTCTCGCCGTGTCCGCCTCGCTGACCTCCCCAGGCGTTCGACCCCCAGGCCCAATCCTACGGCCACGGCAACAACAAGACGGGCAAGGAAAAGGCCTCGATCCTCCATCCCGACCTCAAGACGATCCCGCACCAGCCGCAGGTGCAGCTGATCGGGAATGGCAAGGTTCCGGGGACGTACGAGGGGCTCGAGAGTGTGAGTGTGGCGGAGTTGCGTGGCTTTCTCGGGCGGTCTGGTCAGGAGATTGTGAGCGGTGGGATCGGTGGGGTCGGTGGGAGGCGCGACGTCAATGGCAGGGCATTAGAGAGCAGGCCCGGGCGTCTGGTTGCTGGTTTCTGGGCAGCGCTGTTGCCAGTGAGAGGATCTCCGCCGTGGTCAAAGTCTCTGCGCGAGACGTCCTGGCGCGCCAGAACTGCCCGCCCATCCCCCAGGTGACATTCACCCCGGTCCTGCCGGAGACTCGCCGACTCCGCTACGACCTTGCGGCCACTCTCCAGACCGCTGACACACCCCCAGCCCCAGCTCAAGCACCCGCACCACAAGACGTTTCACAAGAGCGTCGTCTCGCAGGAAGAGGAGGATAAAGGGGTGACCCGGTTCTACCGGTGGTGAGTGGTCGTGGACGCTGCTTTCGCAGTTGCTTTAGGCTGCGGCGGTGGCCTTCTGCCTCAAGACGGTTCTGGCGCGTATACCTGCTGTGCTTTCC